ACCTGACACCCGAAACGGGTCCTTAAAAGCCCCTCAAAGCCGAACCCTAGACCACATTTAGGTTTAGGTGGTTTAGGGTTTAGGGTTTAGGGGTTTAGGGTTTAGGGTTTGGGGTTTGGGGTTTGTGGTTTGGGGTTTAGGGTTTGGGGTTTATAGGGTTTGGGGTTTAGGGTTTGGGGTTTAGGGTTTGTGGTTTGGGGTTTAGGGTTTGGGTTTATAGGGTTTGGGGTTTAGGGTTTGGGGTTTAGGGTTTGGGGTTTAGGGTTTAGGGTCTAGGGTTTAGGGTTTGGGGTGTAGTGCTACGTGGGTTCAGAGTTTAGGATTCAGTGTTACGGGGTGTTAGGGTTTAGGCTTAGAGTTCAGCGTAACAGCGTCTGGGGGGCACTAACAGGGCCCAGGGCCTAGAGGGTTTGCGGGGCTTCCTGGCTAAGGGTGGTTTAGGGTTTGGGGTTTATGGTTTGGGGTTTATGGTTCAGGGTTTAGGGGTTTTGAGTGTGGGGTCTAGGGTTTAGCTAAGGGTGTCATGATGAAGACCCGGACAATGTAGTGGGTCGGATTGCTAGTAGCAGCTTTCAGGTTGCGAAAACCCTACGTAGGGTGCACGTCTATCGATAGCTGACCTGCAGCCTTGACCCCGAACCCGAAACCCTAAACCCTTAGAGTTTAGGGTTTAGGGTTTAGGGTTTAGGGTTTAGGGTTTAGGGTTTAGCACCATGATTCAAGCCGTGCCTGCCAGGCGCATGTCCACCATCGGTGTCACGAAGTTCTTCACCACGGGCGAGTACGCCTGGAACATCTTCGACTTGTTGATGGCCGCCAAACCCTAAACCCTAAACCCTAAACCCTAAACCCTAAACCCTAAACCCTAAACCCTAAACCCTAAACCCTAAACCCTAAACCCTAAGTGTTTTGGGAGTTCAGGGTTGAGGGTCTAGGGCGCCGAGTTGGTTGCCAGGTTCAGGGACTGGTTTCTCGCAGGATGTAGCCAGTCCCATCTTTCGGGATCTGATCCGGCTCTGTCTGCAAACCCAAATATAGGAACCTAAAGAATTACCTATACTGTTTTGGGGGTTCCCTATTGAAAGTATAGTATAATATACCCCAAAACCCTATTCTGACTAATGAGGCCACTACACTAAACCCTAAACCCTTCGTCGGACCCAAACCCTAAACCCCCACCCTCCCTGAACGCAGCGTCAAGCTCCGGGTGCTCTTGAAGGTCTCGCTATCCGTTGTGGAGCTCCTAGTGGATCTCATCTTGCAGGACCCACAGAAAAGGATTAAGGTTTAGGGTTGTGGGTTTAGGGGTTCCGGGGTTCAGGGTTTAGGGGTTCAG